TCATATGATATAGATATGAACATTGTATAGATAGATAGATAGATAGATAGGAACAGCCTATAGAGTGATAGATATCAACAGCCTATCGATAGATACATATGAATATCTGATAGATAGATAGATAGAAAGATATGAACAGCCAATATATAGATTGATTGATAGCTATGAACAGCCTATAGATAGATATGAATATCTGATAGATAGATGGATAGATAGATACGAACATCCTATAGATAGATATGAACAGCCTAGATATATCGATAAATAGATAGATACGAACATTGTATAGATAGATAGATAGATAGATAGATAGATAGATAGATATTAACAGATATATTGATAGATATTGTGGAATCGTGCATGGATTCCACCTTTTTTGCGCGCGCGTGTGCACGCGCGCCCCTTCCTTTCACCTTTCGGCTAGACATAGCAGTAAATCAGCCTGTTTGTTGCCGACAAGGTTGCTGGCTGCTCCTGATACCGTCTAGAACGGAATTTGAAGTTTTCCCGCGCATTTCTCTGACGTCACTGACAAACTTCGTTTTTCAAGTCAGTCGTTACCTGATTTTCAATTTAGAAGGTCAACTCATTTACTCCGTGCCCCTTACCCATATGCGGGCCGGAATATCTTAACTGACCAAATTTCCTACTGACTCCTTGGTTCATTATGCCCAATATTTTTCCTGTGATTGTAACTTGTTTCGAACAACATCTTCGAACTGTCCTCCGTTTTCTACTAGAGAACGTAGAGTCGACGACACTAATCTTGTAGCCGACCCGGTAGCATGCAGTGCTGGCCTACGAAAAGGTGGCCTTGTGCCAGACACTACTCACGACTACCGAATCCACTAACAAAGTAAAAATACTAAATATGTGATCTTTAGTGAGGAAAAATGGTCTTTTAACACGTCCATAAGAATAGTAAAATATAGATAGCCAGGAGGAAACGACAAAACGAGTCTGGTGGAAGACAAATATAAAACTTTATTTGAATAACAAATAATCTTTTCTCAACAGTGGAGGCTATCAGAAAAGGTAAGGACAGTTCTTAGCCAGTAGGCAGATTGTATTATGTAGTGACTAGTAGAATGTTAAAGTTCCGCGCCAAAACGTAAATCAAAATGGCTAAGGCGGGAAAAGTTTCTTCAGAAGGAAGGTTCTGGAATATTGTCTTCTTGTACAAAAGGTGTATGCGTATGCGAAAAATACTCACAGCGAGGTTTAATAATGTGTGTGTAATGTTATTTTTTTAAACTGGTTCGTAAAGGTTAGAAATCAAAAGAAGTGTATGAAAAGTTCATCAATCTTCATTGAAGAAAATTCGGCGTTCCCTGGTAGTGAACGGAGGGAAGATCGAACAAGTTGTTCGCATCAAGACGGGGAGTTAGTCTTGGAAAAGTGTGATGACGACAGTGTCGTAGACTCTGGTAGAAAATGGAGGAAGGTTCAAACATGTTCACTTCAAGACGAGTAATTAGTCTTGGAAAAGTGTGATGACGACAGTGTCGTAGACTCTGGTAGAAAATGGAGGAAGGTTCGAACAAGTTGTTCGCATCAAGACGAGGAATTAGTCTTGGAAAAGTGTGGTGACGACAGTGTCGTAGACTCTGGTAGAAAATGGAGGAAGGTTCAAACATGTTGTTCACTTCAAGACGAGGAATTAATCTTGGAAAATGTGATGCCGAAAGTTTCGTAGACTCTACGTTCTCTAGTAGAAAAACGGAGGTAAGTTCAAACAAGTTGTTTGAAGAAAAGTTGTAATCACACGACATGTTGAAGTTTTTGGTTAGTTAAGATATTCCGGCCCGCGTATGGGTCAGGGACACGGAATAAATGAGTCGACCTTCTCTTTTGAAAATCAGGTAACGACTGACTTGAAAAACGAATTTTGTCAGTGACGTCAGAGAAATGCGCGGGAAAACTTCAAATTCCGTTCTAGACGGTATCAGGAGCAGCCAGCAACCTTGTCGGCAACAAACAGGCTGGTTTACTGCTATGTCTAGCCGAAGGTGAAAGGAAGGGGCGCGCGTGCGGAACGCGCGCACAAAAAAGGTGGAATCCATGCACGATTCTACAATATGAACAGCCTATAGATACATAGATATGAACATCTGATTAGATAGATAGATAGATAGATAGATATGAACATCCTATAGACAGATACATATGAACAGCAGATAGATAGATAGATAGATAGATAGAAACAATAAACTTGGAAATACATAATCTAACTATTATGATCAAATTCGCAGCTTATTCCTAAACTTTTAATAAAGTTCAAGGACGTATTCACGAGCTACTGAACGTATTTTAATGGACTTTAATGATTTTACTTGTCTTTCTTGTATAACTTACAAAAAGGGATTATGAGATTAAAACTGATTAGGCACATAAGCGAAAGTCGGATCAGGCTAAGAAGATTCAATTGTACTATATTTCTCCTTGTCAACCATGACGTTCTAATGTAGTTAAAAACAGTTAAGTAGAAATATTAGTCTTTGCGGTTTATCGTAACGGCAGAGAAGCATAACGTCGACATAAAATTAAAACTTTTCACTGCCGTGATGTTTTTTGACATTCATCAATGCAGAATTCTCGAGGAGAAGAGAACGCTCCCGATTTGAGTGGAAAAATTTACACAGTAAATAATATTTATTTGATAGGATGGAAAGAATAACTAATAATTGCTGAAGGTGGATTGGAGTTCGACTCTCAGTGAATAGTGTGATATTTTCGCTTGCTTTTGTTTCAAATTTAAATGATAATTCGAGAAAAGCGTATCTTCCAAAAGAGATTCGTTAGACCATATTCTGAAATTATTTTGTAATTCGACTGCAAAATTTTCGAAACGAAGTTTTAAGAAACCCCTTTGTTACAAAATAATGTAGAATTTTAAATCTAAATCATTTCAAATAGCTGAAAATAAATTGTCCAATGTGTAAAAAAAATAAATAAAAATAAAAATGGATCACAGAGCCTTGATATTACTCTGCCCCTGATTGGTCAATTAATGTTAATATCATGTTTTCCACTACGTCTTCACGGTTAAAATTAATTTACCACCAAAAACCTGTGTTTTGAGCCTATCACGGGACATACGACATTATAAATACCAAGCGACATTTTCAACTCTTACTCTCTTTTACCTTCTTTCACACACAAGATGTAACGTTAGAGAGATTGCGTTTGTCCCTTAAGGGCGAACGCTATGAAACACGCATATGCACACACAAACACACACGTTCATAAGTACGAACATCTATGACATCTATTCATACTTTCAACTACAAGCAACAGAACCTTTTTTCACTTTCTAACAGAGATTTTCTTCAGCACTCAAGAAGTCTACAACACCTTTTTATCTAAGAACATTCTTTTCATTGAGACTGACCATTATTTCACGAACTGAAATCTTTCCCTGGCGTCAAGAAAAAAAAATACTACAAAACTTCACTTCTTGAGTAAACTCATAGACACCAGTTAAATAGGAATATATTTTGAGTGTAAAGTTAATTAAACATTAAACTACAACTTTTCAATCAAAAATCTAGGTCATTGTAATTCTTTTTACAATATATTGAAAATTGTAGGGTGACCAAAATATCGACTTTGTCGTTTCTCAGGTTTCTGTTGTTTTCTCTTGTTTGCTAGCACGTAAGTAAATATTGTACGGATTGAATTGAGGCCGTTCAAACACACTACAATAGTATATATTCGTTTTAGTATGAATTGATACTCTTTCTGATTTCACCATTACTTTGTTTACTTAAAGCAAACCATCCAAGTTATATTCAGTATTTTACTGTCCTTTTACTGATAGTCTTGCTTACTATCTCGTGAGCAAGATATACAAAATCAGCAATTCGATCAGTTTGCTCCGTGTAGATGAATTATTAAGCTGTGGTTGAGCTTTACCTGTTGTCATTAAAACATACATCTTGAAGTATAATATAAGGCCTATATTTACAGTAATCTTTTTTTCAGATCTAACCTGTTTATATTTATCTACTCAACGTTATGTTGATTGATTGAAAATTGATCGATTTAATTATTACGGCTTACCAACCCATTTTAGGTTATAGAAAGCAAAAATATCTTTCGGATTATAAAAATATTCTTTCTTTTACTAGCGAATATCTCAGTAACATGTTTTTGGGAATAACAATGAAATTTTCAGATACAAGTCCTAATATTTATCCATAGTTATGGGGAAGGGGGTAGATTCATACATTTTTCAAGGATATTTGCGCAGGGAATTCAATCTCAAACGATTTAAGATTTGGTTGGTTGGTTGGTTTTCTTTTACATCATATATACCTCAATGAGTTATTTAATGTCGAAAAATGTTTATTGCTGGTAATATTTTGTTTTGTCAAAAATGTATTGCTGGTAATATTTTTCTTTCAAAAATGTATTGCTGGTAATATTTTTTCCTCAAAAATGTATAGCTGGTAATATTTGTTCTTCAAAAACATTGTTGGTAATAATTTTTTTCCTTCAAAGATTTATTGCTGGTAATAATTTTTTTACAAAGTATATCTGGTATTAAAATCTATTTTTACACCTTCATAGCGTTTTTTAGTCCAGTTTCGGGGTTAACTATTTGCCCATAGCTTGGACGCTAACAGGTGATACCACCCCGGATCAGGGTGGACCTAGGAACACCAGTAATTAAGAGGTGGTTCCACGCTCCTCAAAACCTTCTGATTCATTAGACCTACAATTCGAATGTAATATATTATAAGCATGTAATATTAGTGCTTGAGAATTTATATATATATATATATATATATATATATATATATATGAATTGGATCGTGATTACGATTCCAGTGTAATAAATTAGAACAATGCAATATTAGTGTTTGAGCCTTCTATATTATATTCTTTCTCTGTGTTGTACATAGAGCTCTACCTGGTTTTTATCCTGAAAAATATATATATATATATATATATATATATATATATATATATATATATATATAGAGAGAGAGAGAGAGAGAGAGAGAGAAAACATTTTGAGAAATCACTTGTTGCTTGAAGTGGAGATGTATGGGCCTCTTCAGGTCAATTTTCGCAAGAAAAGCAACCCCTGAATGGAGAACTCTCCAGATTTCAACCCAAGATACGAAGAGGGAACTAGTCTAAGATGTGCCGTGAAGTAACAAACACACACTGTCATAGGACTGCTGATGATGATGATGAAGAGGAGGAGGACGAAGGAGAAGAAGAAAACGAGGAGAAATAGAAGAGGAGGAGGTGGAGGAAGATGAAAAGCAAATTAGTTTGGCAAATGTAAAGGAAATTTATTTTCTTAAGTCTTGTAAAATCGTTTTCTTTGCTTAATTTTTCTTAGAAAGAAAGACAAAAATGCAAAATTGTTTGCAGGTAAAAGTCCTTAAACAGCAAACAATTTCCCAATTTCCATATAGGGAACACGTGTTTGTGACAAGTTTCCCAATAATTATTCATTTCTCTTCTCTTCTATTTTATCCGGAAGCGTGATCCTTTATAGATTGGAATATATACCACGGTGACCTGAAGTCAACGCTTTTATTTGGATAAATGTAGTCACGGCTCTATAGTTATTACATCACGTAAGAAACATCTGCTGAACCGGAACTATTGCCATGCTTATCTGATAACGTTCCGACATTGAATATATTACGCTTAGCGCTTTGTATATATTACTTGGTCGAGAAGATGACTTAATGATTATCAACACAGGAAATGCAATCGGCAGGTGGAGTTCAATTTCCAGCTGAGGATGTAGTATTCTTTTCGTTCATTAATTTGACGAAAAGAGGATTTTTTTCCTCCGGTTATGGGTAAACTGGAGTACAAGGCTGACGTTTATGTCCTCCGTTGGGCAAATCTGAATTCAAAGTCCCTTAAAAAAGAATTCATGAGCCCGCGTGACAAGGTAAGCCCATTTGATGAACTGAGAGAAAAGGAAATTATTGCATTTCGTTTGCTTTGTCCATTAACTGTCATGGGCTCCCAAGCACCTATCTTGAACTTGCCACTGCATCTAAAATCTACAACCCATGACTCATATAACGGAATCCCAATACTTACGCCATTCTTTCTGGAAATGGAACCCCGCATGGTCGAGAACGCAATAAAACGAGCGATCAAAAAGCATCCATGATATTGCTATGATTGTTTTGTAAAATTAAAAAGCGATTAATTACATGGCACCGAAAACACCGTGAATACGTACGGCACTTACGAAGCGTTTTTCAGCAACAGTTGTTTACAAATAGTTACGCATGTAAATTCTTAAGAAAAAATAAAATGACAATAAATTTCTTATAAAATTAGGAGATGACAATCAGGAAAAAAAAGATTCTTTTTTAATCATTTCACCCCAAGCAAGGCTTTAAATCATTAAGATGCAACTGAAAAATTATGAAAAAAACAAAAAAAATTAAAAGTAGAGAAAAAATAAAAGAAGAATTAAGAAGAGCAGTAACAATTAAGATAGAAGTAGGAAATACTGATCAAAGTAAGGAGGAGAAAATATATAGAGGGACAGCTGAAAATGAAGGGAAAAAAGTAGTATAACCATAAGATGAGTAAATATAAAAATGCAACGACAATTGATTACTTGAAGATTAAAAAAGAATTAGGTAAGTCCCCGAAAAAAAGCAGTACATGTAAAAAAATTACTAGGGATAAGTTTATAATATAGCAATACTAAATATGAGCAGCGATAAGAGAAGGCTAAATAGAAAAAAGAATATATCTATAGTATCGCATGAATGGTTTATTTGATGCTTTTTCTTACCCCTTCATTTAAATTACAATGGAATAATTAGGCACGCCCACTGAGTGGGCGGTTCTTTGAGTGTTTCCTTTTCTCTTATGAGGGAGATATTCATGCTTTTTAAAAAATAATAAAAGTATTTTGTTTTATTTTTTCCAAAGATGCTTTCAATTTGGCGTGTTACGGCCATGGATATTTAAAACTGCTCCCACTTTTTTCCTTTGCGTTCTTGTCGTAAGAAGATCGCGAGTGTAAGAGACTATATATATATATATATATATATATATAGAAAATAGGAAGGAACTGGTTAGGTAAATAATCCTAAGTCCCTTAGTATTTTAGTTATTATTTTTAAAAAATAGTGCTCGATACAAAAGTAGAGCATAAATATAATTATTTTAAAATATGATTCCAAAACGCGACATAAGAAATCTCATGTTTCAAAACAAGAGCCG